TCGAAAACTTCATTGAAAATTGATCACGATGACGTTATTTTCATTGCTGGAAGTTGAGGTCAGTACAGTGTCCATTGAAGAAGTGAATTAATGATAATAATAATAATGGCTTTTATTGATAGGAAACAAATACAGAGAAAAAAATATATATAAACAAAAATATAAGCTTCTATCAAATGGCAGGATTTAATTTCTGACCATGTTACAGAGAAATCGCAACATGAGCAGACCTTGTTCTTCCAACCAAGAAACGTGTGCACCTATGTAAACATAAACACAAGTGCACACAAGCAAACGTCACAAGCAAACGTCACCAAATAGTCACAATTAAAAATATACTACATAAAACGAGTTGCAAGACACATTGAACACATGTATAAATAATTAAATAAAAACGAAATGAAGTAGATGCAAGAAAAAGGAAAAAAAAAAGAAAATAGATACTAGAGAAACAAATAGATACTTCCACCTGATGAATTAGATATAGCTGCCTTGTGATTTCAATTGGTTCATGCAGACATATATCTCCTTTTTTATACTGATAATACAAAGTAATGAGTAATTTCAAAAAAAAGAGATGAAAGCATAACAACATTAAGGGCCTAGAGAAAAATTGAGGCTAAGGGTTTGAAAAGGCCATTTGATCGTTTTTAAGCTCAACGTACTATTGCTGTCTCAGCAAAGTTGCAACCTCAGCAATCTCAACAAAATGATTCACAAAAGTTTGTTTCATATATCAAAATTTGTAAAATAAAAACATACGGTTCAAGAAACAAATTAGAGGAACATTCAGGTTACCCAGGAAATGTGAGTAACACTTAGGCACACTTAGGCGATAAAATATAGCTACCCTGTGCTTTCAATAGCTTCATGCAGACATTTATCTCCTTTTCTATATCGACAATACAAAGTAATGAGTAATTTTAACAAAATAGATGAATGCATGAAAACAATGAGAACTTGGAGAAAAATTGAGGCTAAGGGGATACAGAGACCATTTGATCGTTTTTTAGCTCAACCTACTTTTGCTCAACCTACTATTGCTATCTCAGCAAAGTTGCAACCTCAGCAATCTCAGCTAAATGATTCACAAAAATTTGTTTCATATATCGAAATTTGTTAAATAAAAACGTACGGTTCAAGGAACAAAATTGAGGAACATTCAGGTTACCCAGGAAATGTGAGTAACACTTAGGCACACTTAGGCGATAAGATATAGCTGCCCTGTGCTTTCAATAGCTTCATGCAGACATTTATCTCCTTTTTTATATCGACAATACAAAGTAATGAGTAATTTTAACAAAATAGATGAATGCATGAAAACAATGAGGACCTGGAGAAAAATTGAGGCTAAGGGGATACAGAGAACATTTGATTGTTTTTTAGCTCAACCTACTTTTGCTCAACCTACTATTGCTATCTCAGCAAAGTTGCAACCTTCAAGGTTGGTTAAATGAGTCAAAAATGTATTGAACAATGTGAAGTAATTGAAAAAAAAATTATGAAGGCGTCATAATGATGTGGAGCTGGAACAAAATTAAGGCTATGATGATATAGATTGTTTTCATCTCAACCCACTATTGCTATTTCAGCAAAGGTGAAACTTATAAAATTGACTGAATTAGTCAAAAAATGATTGAACAATGTTATGAGTAATTTTTAAAAATTAAGTTCCCACAATCCATTCCATTGGATCAATTAGAGAATTTTGGGAACTCAAATCGCCTCTCAGCTGTGATATGGTGTCAATCAATAGTTTGGACTGCTCAAATAGTATCCCGAAACTGTTGATCACTAAGATAGTTATTCAGTTAGTTTTTATTTGCCGATTTGAAAAAGTCACTATTGAGCCTTTCTATTGACGTGGTGAGTCGCAATTCAACATCATAATCTAATGAAAAAGAAATCTTTGGTTCCACGATTTTTTTCCACCTTTTTTGTATTGCAAGAAGAAAACAGGAATGAAAACTCACGATTTTTCGTCGTGTATTGTCCAGTAGAAACACTCGATTCGTACGGTCCTGTGTACTCCAATTTGACTTTATAACCTTCAAGTTCCTGCCTCATTGCGTTTATTAGAGGGTACTTTCCGCTACCGCAAGATCCTCGGAAGTCATCCATATCTACAGACCAGATCATGATACCTCCGAATCCTTCTTCTTTCAACCAAGCAATCTGAAACGAAACAGTTCTGCTAGAATCAATACTTTTGACAACTTTCCGAAATGCTTCAACTTGCGTTTATCCATCGCCTCTATTTGAAAATACTCGTAATCTTACCGTTTATTGATTTCCTCTTCCGAGGTATTGAGTTGATCTCCTAGGATTTTACTTAGATATAGTAACGGGTGATTTTTCAAGAGGCATAGGATTTGATTTTCAAAACAACACGAAAAATTTGAAAAAATTGATGAAAACTTTAATGGAATCGATAGAACGATCAATATAATTCAATATTTGAAGATGATTTCATGCAAATGCTGTCCGCGGCTCCGCTTCAGATGGCCCAGGCGCAAGGTCCAATTTTGGCACACTCTCTCTAAGCGGAATTTCACGTATAAATGCTTCAATATTGGCTTCCAGAGCGCCAGTCGTTGCTGGTTTATCCCTGTAGACATGAGCCTTAACATGACCTCAAAAGGAATAATCCAAAGACGTTAATTCACCGATATAGGTGGCCTATTGACAGGCCCCAACCGTGAGATAAACTATTCACCGAAGGCGGCTTTTAATTGGGCCATTGTTTCGCGTGCCGTGTGGCATGTGGCATCATCTTGTTGAAACCACGTGTCAGGCATGTCCAATTCTTCCATTTTGGGCAAGAAAAAGTCGTCAATCGTCACACGGTAGCGCTCGCCATTCACAGTAACGTTCCGGCCATTGTCGTCTGTGAGGAAGTATGGCCCGATAATGCCACCGACCCGCAATCCACACCAAACAGTGACTTTTTCGGGATGCAACGGTAGCTCTTGCAATGCTTGTGGCTGTATCCATCGAACCAGAAATGAGCCTCGTCGCTGAACACAATTTTTTGATAAAAATGTGGATGTTCCTCCAACTTTGCCAGCGCCCATTCACCAAATGTTAGACGTTGTGGGAGGTCGTGGTGTGGCTTCAATTCTTGCACCAGCTGTATCTTATAAGGTTTTACACCCGAATCCTTTCGCAAAATTTTTCTCGTAGTGGAGTAACAGAGGCCCAATTGCTGCGAACGGCGGCGAATCGACATTTCACGGTCATCACGAACACTGGCGGATACAGCCGCAATATTTTCCTCGGTCCTCACTCTACGTATGCGTGTTGGTGGTTTAATGTTCAATAATGTAAACTGGGTTCGAAATTTAGTTACAAGCTTCCGAGTAGCTCCCTCAGTAGGCCGACGAAGCTGCCCATAAATTGAAAGAAGCGCACGATACACTTTCTTCACCGAGCATGAATTTTGATAATAAATTTCAATAATTTGCAAGCGTTGTTCATTCGTAAGTCGATTCATGGTTAATTCATAGACCAAACTGAACAAGTTCGACAATGACACAAGACACGATCCACGCATGATCTGTTAAAATAAGTGTTGCCAAAAAGACACCAGCAAAAAATCACCCATTACAAAATGAACATTTGTGAAAAACTGTTTTCATTAGAAAATTGGAAATGTTTTCATTGCTTTCCATTTTCAAGACAAACTTACCTTCGTCTTTAAACTCCTTTCATCATCGAATCCTACCCACTGGTTATCCCTATAGGCAAAAGGTACTTGCTGCTCATTGTCCCATACCAAGGTGGTATTGTCTTCATGCAGGAAATCACAAATTTCGTAATAGCTCATAAACCCTGCTTCTGATGTATATTTTCCTGCTATGCCTCCTCCACTTGCTGGTGCTCCAATATCAAATTGTGTGATGTTCACCAGTTCAAAGCTGCGACCGTATGTAGGCATTCCAATCATCAATTTCTCTTTAGGGGCACCCTGTTTCACCCATTCGCGAGCTGAGTAATCCTACAACAAAGAAAATTCTCAATGAACTCTGAAGTAATAAAGTATGTGGTCTGTTAAAACTTTTCGATGACTCAACTCTTCAGTTGATACCAATTCTATTCGTCTGTCATGAAAAAACTGTTTCAGTTATCTGAGTAGAAATCAATTCATCTGAAATCAACGTGAACATACCACTGTCAGCTTCTTCTGATGTTTGGTGGCACTTTCCAGAGGGAACAAAGGGGCATTGTGTCCAACGGTTCTTTCCCATTGTCCATGGAAGTCGTAAGTCATGACATTGATGAAATCTAGATATTTGGAGATTTCTGGAACATCGTATCCAGCTGCAATAGCTTCAAATGAAGCTGGTACAGCAGCAGTGAGCAGAAGTCTCGGTTGTCCACTAGTTTTCGCTTCCCCTGAAAAATGTTTTCTATAGTAACTGGTCCCTCAGAGATTGGACAGAAAAGAAAAACAAGTATGATGATGACATTCGTTTTCTCAACTGTCCTGAACCAATCTACCAATCTCATTCTTACTCAGTCAATATTGGTGGAACTGAATGAGAAATCAGTTACTCTGATTACATTGATTGTTCCATATGAATCGTGAATTTAAGATACTAACCTTCAAACGCTAGTCGCAGTTCTTTTAGAAGGTTGACATAGGCAACTCTATCATCAGCTCCTCTTGGATATTCCCAGTCTACATCTAAACCATTGAATTTGAACTCCCTCAAGAATTCGATGGCGTCATAAACAAATTGGTTCATCCTGAAGACATTACTTGTGAGCTCTTTGAAAGGTGTGGAACCAAAAGCCCATCCACCGATGGCCAGTAGTACCTTGAGAATATCTTTCAATTAGAAACCGAAAGCTGAACATTATTTAGAGGCAATTAAATGAGAAGGAGAATAAAAAAACATTGCTTTGGTGGGAATGAAAGATAGTTTACAGGTTTGGAACTTGGTGGTTCCGAAAGCAGATGATGATTTTTTGGAAGAAATATGGTACCATTTAGGAAACGAAAAATTCTTTCAGTTGTTGAGAATATTCCACAATATTATCGTGGAATCCCATACTCCCTTCAAAGGCTGAGATTCAAATATTCTCAAATGCGTTCTACAGATTTCGTTGCCAATAATGAAATAAATAGCTTCTGAATCGCGTCTCCGAGCGAGCAGGGTTTTCACAACTAATCTAAAGCAAGTTATCGAAGAATCATCCAGAAAATGGATGTTATATCTCACTCAACATGTATATATTTCAATCTATAGAGATAGTAGCCCCAATGAGATGAAAAGAAACACAGAAGCGTTTTGTAATGTACTAACAGATGAAAGCATTTTCTATTGTTTGATTATCTTAAACAAATTGAGAGAAGGTAGTCGCTGAGCTAGATTAATTCTCAATTTTCAATGTAATTTTCAATGAAAAATGTAATTTCTTTACTACATCCAATCATAATAGTTAACACCAATCAGTATGGACGATATAAATGAATTCTACTGTTCGGTTGAACAGAATAATGACCCACTGATTAATTCAGAAAATGTTGCAATCAATGAATCTCTTCAATTGGATGATACGAATATTGATGAACTGTTTGAAGTTTTTGGTGATATAAGGAATAAATCAACATCTGGTTATGATGAAATTTCAATCAAAATTATTGAAAATCTTCGGATAGAAGCGCTCAGAACTCTCACTAATCAATTTTTTATTCAGAAATGGCAGGTTTCCATCCTTTCTAAAATTGTCGATAGTGATTCCTTTATATAAAGGTAACTCTGTAGATGATCCTTCAAATTATCGACCAATATCTCCCATTCCTACTATTGCAAAAATAATTAAAAAACTAGTTAAGAAAAGACTCAATGAATTTCTCCTTCGCCATAACATTATAAGGAAAAATCAATTTGGATTCCAGAGCAACAAGAGCACACATGATGCAATATTCTCTTTCCTGTTTGAGGTGTATTCCAATAAGGATGATGGAGATGCTGCTGCAGCAGTATTTTGTGACTTTACAAAAGCGTTTCACTGCGTTGATCATAAAATACTGCCACGAAAGCTGAATATCTGTGGATGTAGAGGGATAACGCTACGGTGGTTTGGGTTGTACCTCAATGGACGCAATCAGATTGTGAAAACGATTAAATGTTCAAACAGTATTGAAATAAATACTGGTGTACCACAGGGATCGGTTCTCGGTCCCATATTGTTTCTTTTCTATATTAACGATTTGATGAACATCAGTATATCTGGAACATTCACTCTTTTTGCTGACGACACCACTATATTGTGGCTTAGTAATGGTATATATATACTCGATGAGACAATAGCTCATGATATACAAAAAATCAAGTCTTGATGTGATTCCAATCTACTCTCCCTCAATATTTCGAAAACAAATACCATGACTTTCAAATGTTCACTTCAGAATTCATCTGTAGCGAGCGGTATCATTGAGAACAGAGAGTGTACTAAATTTCTGGGGCTGTATATTGACGGTGGACTGAAATTTGACGCTCACATCAGCTGTTATGCAGTGAGAGTTATTGCTAGAGAACTGGGAGTTTATACTGCAAAAAACAGCATATCACGCTTTGGTAGAGTCTCACTTAAGGTCCGGTATACATTTTTGGGGTGTGTGTAGCCTTAATTTGCTGGAGTCTGTATTTGTATTTCAGAAGAGAGCTATACGATAGTTGTGGAAAGCTAAACCTCGTGACTCATGCAGGCAACTGTTTATAGATAAAAAATTGACGGTTGTAGCTCTTTTTATTCTGGAGACAGTGTGTTTGATTGAGAAACATCTTGTGAAACTTGAGGTAACCACCCATCACTATACAACTCGTCAGAGCGTACAAAAAAAATTAAAATTACCTATTCCTTGCAACTCTCTGGTCAAGGACTCCTCATTTTACAATGGTGTGAAGATGTATAACCATCTGCCGAGTTACACTGAAGAGATAAATATTGATATCAATCAGTACAGAAAAATGATTAAAGAAATTTTGAGTAGTAGACCCTATTACAGTTTGACTGAGTTCTATACCGATCATTTTTAACTCAGCATGTTTTATGTGTATGTATGTTTCAACCATTGTTTGTGGTTTTTTATTCAGTGTTTTTATACTTGGGTTTACTTTATATTTTATCTATATTTTTATATTTATCGGACATTTACGGTATTCTTTTATATTCATTTACTAACTTTGTCAACAAGATTTTTTCTTCGGACAATAAAGTATACTAAATGGAAAAAAAGTGCTGTAGGCCTACACTCACTCTCCCTACTCTACAGATACAGAAGATGAAAAAAAATAGGTAATTGAAAAGCCTGAACAAGAGGAGATATGATATATTGGGTTGACTTGCAAGGTCGTAGACTAACACACAGATGACGCTATTAGTATCAAATCCATATTATTTTCAGTTAACCCTAACCTTTGAAGGTTAGTGCGACTACCACATAGTGTTATTGGAGTGTTTGAAGGGCAAACTCGCGTAAAAATTGATCTAGAGTGACACTTAGATGATGTATCATTCCAGAAGTCAGGAAAATGATTAATCGAAACTGTAGAATTTCAAAATAGTCAGAAAAATCCATCAGGATATGAGAACTGTAACTGTCAGTTGGCCACAAAGATGTAAAAATTCAAAGACATCACAATTTTGTGAAACTAACTCAAGAGTTAGAGATTTTCCCAACTTCATACTTAATCCGGTCTGTAGCTCACCTTCAATTCCGGATTTTTTTCCCTGAGTTCGATTACTCTGTCGTACATATCTGGATCTTTATCACTTGCTTCTGTCAGCTTGTTATCCTTGAGAGTTGCGAATGCGTAGATGATGTGAGTACAAAGTGCTGGATTGATATCTTCAGGAGTGAATTTTCCAGCTCCTGGTCGTTTCACCGACCAGCTCGTCATGTAACAGAAGACTTGGGGTTTTCGAACTGGAAACGAGGAAATTTCAAATATTGGCTGTGAGAAAAATTATCATTCAAACACTCACCATGTTTGTTGACTCTCTTGGCCAAGGATGTAGTCTTCTTATTGGGTTTTCCGACTCGTTTCAAAACTTCAGACACTGCTATTTTAATGGGTTTCGGTTTTTCTTCTTCCTCTTCCTCATCCTCATCTTCGTCATCTTCGCTTGGTCCAGCAATCGCTTGCCAATCCACGTCTTTCACATCTTTACCTCTCGATATTCCCAAAAGTTCTTCTCTGTAATGATATTATTCACAATCAATACGTTGCAAACATACAACATCATAGAGAAGATTTTGTTTATATGAGGTACCTTTCTTGGTTTGTTTATTATGTTCATTAATTATAATAATGATGAAGTGATGTATCTCTTTGAAATATGTGTAAATTGATTCTATATGAAAAAGGGATTTTCGTGAATATCAATTCCTCCACTAGATGGCGCTACTTGTATCAAATCCACATGATTTTCAGTTAACCCTTACTTTTGAAAGACACTTATACACATATCACAGCTGTGGGACTATTAGTTTGTGGGATAAAACATTTTGAGTGAAGCAACTTTTGTGTTGCAAAAAAAGGATAAAAAGGATTTCTTTTGATGATGCATTACTTTTTGACTGAAAAAATAATTGGTGAAGCCAATAGCTTGATAAACATTGTTCTTATTTTGCGATAGCAAAATCAACCGTTGAGAAGTGGTGGAAGAGGTAAAATGAACACGGGTGGACGGCATAACGAGGTTGTAACTGACAAAAACACCGAAAAGTCCACAAAATTTCATAAGAATAAATATAATTTTGAAAAACTAGAAACAGGCTTTTAAAGAACATCGAACTAAAACGTTGAAGATTTTTTTTAAAATAAGGTTGAAACGTAAACGAAAGAAAAATTGTTTCCACATTGTGAAAAAAACGACGGGCGCTTGATATAAAAAAAAAATATGGCACAAAGCGCAGTAACACTTAGGCACACTTAGGCGATAAGATATAGCTGCCCTGTGCTTTCAATAGCTTCATGCAGACAT